AATCTACCTTAATCTGGGAGCACCCTTGGCTACAAGATGAATAGGATCCTATGATTCAAACTGAGATGCCTCCACAGCTTGCTGGAGCAAGGGTTGAGGAATTGATTGACCAGGATACTGGTTTATGGGACCAACATATTCTCACTGATATTTTCCAGCCAGTTGATATACCTAAAATCCTAAAAATTCCGATCTCCCCAGATTATGATGATATGTGGTATTGGTATGGGGATCCGAATGGTTGTTGCTCTGTCAAGAATGGCTATAGATGCATTATTGGGAATTATGAGGATAGCAATAATGGGGCGTTTAGCAACTGGACCACTCTATGGAAGTTAAAAATTCCACCCAAATGGAAAACCTTCCTATGGAGAGCTATTAGTGATATCCTACCCACTACCAATAATTTACTTATAAAGAGAGAGGAAGTTGATCCGATGTGTGTCATGTGTAGGATCATAAATGAGTACACTATGCATTCATTGGTATTGTGTGGTTATGCAAGCTCCATATGGACTCAATCCAACCTACCACTCCCCAATATTATAACAAATATTTTCCATGAATCGTTTAGTGCAATCATAAATGTTCTAGACACTAATGGAATTATTTACGCAGCTGCAATTTTATATCATATTTGGAGAGCACGGAATGGAGCTATGTGAGATGCCTGTCTACCGTGACCAAAATCTGTTCTTGCGGCGGCCACTGCCACCATGAGTGCTTGGCGGAATGCCCACATCCGAACCGCTGCCCGGCAGCTTCACGGCCGAACTTCTGCTACACCGCCACTGTCGGGCCACCACGCGACGAACCAAATGTCGCCGCCATACCACACGCTGCCTCACGCCCCTGCCAACCGATTGCATGGTCCAGCGCCGCACCAACCAAATATAGCAAGGCTAAGAAAATGTTATGTGGACATCGGGTATCACCAAGGAACGAACTCGGCTACGGTCGGGGCGGTCCTACTCGATGCCAGTGATTGTTTTATATCGGCCTTCAGCGCGCCTATCCTGAGTTGTTTTTTCCCACTTATGGCCGAAGCGTTTGCATGTAAAGAGGCTCTCTCTTGGCTAAGGGCCCAAGGTGAACAATCTATGCAGCTTTATACGGATTGTCACACGTTACAGTGCTACCTGTCTACACCAGACAACCCATCTCGTTCCTACACTGGCTATGCCATAGATAGTTGCAGAATTTATATGTCTGCTTTTACTTCCTGCTCTGTTGTTTTTATTCCTAGATTGCAGAACTTATTAGCCCATACTTTAGCTACTACAGCTTTTACGCTTTATTCATTATCTATAAATTAATTAAGATAAATAATTTTATTAGTTATATTGTCTTTATATTTCTCCAATGTAAAAATTCTTTACATTCAAATTCATCAATTGTCTATTATCTTTTTTGTGCACTATTTTTTAATTAAATATCAAAGTTATAATACAAAATAATGTTATATATTTATTTACCAAGTATTTTATTAATACCATGAAAAAATTAAAAAATAATAATTAATAAAGCCAATCATATTAACTACTTAAAGAAATTTGTTGACAATGAGAGTATTCAAATCACACAACAAACCTTCTAAAAAAAAAAATCACACAACAAATTGAAGTGAGAACTATCTCACAATGTCCTTGTTTGATAATCAGCATTTAGTGGTTAGCGTTAGTGGATTATATTAGCGGATTTGACCAACGAGTTATATCAACGGTTGTTAAAAAGATATTTGAAAAAATTAGTTGTTTAGATTAACATGTAAAATGACCTAAGGGTATAATAATAATAATAATAATAATAATAATAATAATAATAATAATAATAATAATAATAATAATAATAATAATAATAATAATAATAATAATAATAACAATAATAACAATAATAATAACAATAATAATAATAATAATAATTGTTTTTAAAAAATAAAAAATATATAATTAAGCCAATCATATTAACTACTTGGGGGATTTATTGACAAAAAGAGTATTCAAATCACACAACAAATTGAAGTGGGAAACTACCTCGCAATGTCCTTGTTTGGCAATCAGCAGTTACCTCTTCAATATTAGTATATATTTAATATTTTATGCCCTAATTTTTATTTGCTCTCCCTTATGTCCCGTATTTGGTTTCAACCATACCTATACAATTATTTATTGACAATTATAATCAATCTTGACTATATTATCTTGCATTTGTAAACTTAGAATTACCTATTTAAATACGCAAATTCAACATTCAATTATCTATGCATGAACAATTCTAATATAATATTGCCTTTATATACTTTAAAGTACTTATTTAAAAAAAAAAAAAATTGGGCATTAATAAGCAATCATTATTGTGTGGACCATATTTTGTTTACTGTAAAATAATATACATTCAGTATAAAAATAATGTACATTGTATTCAGGAGATGTACATTATTTTTATTCTGAGTGTACATTATATTATATAATGTACATTCAGTAGAAAAATAATGTACATTTAGTATATTACAAATGTACTTTTTGTTATGCTCCATAATTTGCAACTAATAAGAGCCCAGGAGAGTTAGGCCTATAATTGGTAGGAAAAATGACGATCAAATTTTTTAATCAAATGAATGGCTCAAATTGATCAGATTTTATTTTTTCCTTTAGATTTCCTAATTTATCCTTAATGAATATGATTATCCGTTAACTTTTCATAAAATATTATCCTTTCCGTTATTTTTTGTTAGTTCACTGTTAACTCATTGATTTCAATAAGAAAGGTCTTAGGTTCGAACCTCATCCCAATCAAAGTTGGCATAATTAGTACTCTATTTTACTCTTATTAAATTAATAAATAATAATTTAGTAGCTACAACAAAAAATAATACATATGCATTTCTTTAATTTAGAATTATGTGTCTACAATGTCTTTATTCAAAAAAAATATTCATTATCAATAAATTAAATAAGAGAAATAATTTCATTAGTTATATTGTCTTTATTTTTCTCCACTATAAAAATTCTTTACATTCAAATTTATCAATTGATTATATTCACTACATTGTCCATACAATGTCTTTATTAAAAAAAAATTATTCATTATCTATTAATTAATAGAAATAATTTTATTAGTTATATTATCTTTATTTTCCTCTAATGTAAAAATTCTTTACATTCAAATTCATCAATTGATTATATTCAGTAGTATATTATCTTTTTGTGCACTATTTTTTTAATATCAAAGTTATAATACAAAATAATGTTATATATTATTTACCAAGTATTTTATTAATACCATGAAAAAAATAAAAACATATATCATTAATAAAGCCAATCATATTAACTACTTGAGGGATTTTTGACAAAGAGAGTATTCAAATCACACAACAAATTGAAGTGAGAACTATCTCGCAATATCCTTGTTTGACAATTAGCAGTTAGTGATTAGCGTTAGCGGATTTGACCAGCGAATTATATCAACAGTTGGTAAAAATATATTTATAAAAATTAACTGTTTAAATTAACATGTAAAATGACCTAAGGTATACATATAATAATAATAATAATAATAATAATAATAATAATAATAATAATGATTTTAAAAAATAAAAAGATATAATTAAGCAAATCATATTAACTACTTGGGGATTTATTGATAAAAAAGTATTCAAATCACACAACAAATAGAAGTTGAAAACTACCTCGCAATGTCCTTGTTTGACAATCAGTAGTTAGCTCTTCAATATTAGTATATATTTAATATTTTATGCCCTAATCAATCTTGACTATATTATCTTGCATTTGTAAACTTAGATTACCTATTTAAATAGGTAAATTCAACATTCAATTATCTATGCATGAATAATTTCAATGTAATCTTACCTTGATATACTTTAAAGTACTTATTAAAAAAAAACATTGGACATTATTTCAATCGCGCAATGTGCGTAAAAAACTAGTATTAAAATAAATGTTAAAAGAAAAAAAATTGTAGAAGTATAAAAAGGAACAACACAAAGAGCAAATAACAATGGTGGATGCTTTGATCCTGCTGGATCCACTGCCCATGCGCCGGATTAACAGTGGTGGAGGTGGCCTCGTCGGACGGCGTCCCGGTCGTGGAAGCCAGGCGCACCGGCGGTGGACATGGATGCGTACCGTTGACGTAGCCAAGCAGACCCTGGCCACGGAGGAAGGGGATGAGCTGTGTTCGCCAAAATAAATAGTTTCATGTCGTTAATTTGATCGACACGAAATGGTGAGCGGAAGTGAGATGATTGGAACCGGAGGTTGGCCGACGGCAGTGGCGGACACAGTGTGTTCCGAGGAGTTGTTTACGTTTGTTACCATCGGAGAGAGAAAAAAGGACCTATCGCTCTGATACCAGATGAGATAATGATTCTGTTGATTGAACTAACTGAACGATCAAGATACAATACAGAATACAGATAATAAGAGAAGACCTATAATCTAGGCTAAGGAACAGATAACTAACTTAGACTAATACAAAGTCTAATAATAATAATAACAATAATAATATATCTAACAATATAAACTATGGAGTACTAAACTTACTATTCGTGCAAAAGTCAATAGATAATTCCATGAGGATCAATTATCTCCTTCCAAAAGGTTTAATCCCTAACCCTAAGGCAGATCAATTATCTGACCAACTTGATTGAGGTTGTCTCCAACTAGAGTATGTAGTATACAATACATAATAATTAAAGCATATCTTAGCTAAAGTTACTTTGGGATATAGATAAACTCAATTATAATACCTCCACGGATACATATAATATATAGTTTGTTGAATGCCCGCAGGTCACGGTGCACCCAAAGTGAGAGTAGTAGAACTTTGGTTTTCTTTTTTCTTCAGCTTTTTTACTTAATGAGAATTGCCACACCACCTTTTCTGTCCACTTTGATGATAAAGCAAAAGCAAGGAAGAAAAGGGAAAACCAAAATAAATAAATAAATAAAACCCAAAAGCAAGAGAGAAAGAAAGAAGTGATACAACAAAGACATAAATAATAAAGGTTCTCCAACCTCCATCATTGTTCCTTCAAATTTCTCTCTCTATAGACTTATGTGATTTCTAATATGCTTCAAAATTCTTCTATTTAATCAAGAGGAGGGAGACCTAATAAAGCTTCTCTAAGGGCTTGTTTGGGAGGAGGTTCATGGAGAAAAGTAAAGTACAAGAGAAGGAAAGGTCAGCACAAAAGTGAATTGAGTTGAAGAAGAAAGAAAGTGAATTGAGTTGAAGAAGAAAGAAAGTGAATTGAAGGGCACCAAGCAAATAAAGCTTTATATTTGCTGCTCTATCTGATTTGCCTTGATAAAACTCTACTCTTTGAGTTTTCTAGGAGAGATAGATACATAGATAGATAGATATAGAGAGAGAAAAGGAGAGAGAGAGAGAGCAATGAATAGAGGTGTTTTGCAGAGCCATGGTTGGTGGAGCATCAACACTAGCATGAGGCCTCCCACATCTCATCATCAACAAGCTGGAGCTAACAGTAGTAGTAGCTCACCTTTCATGGCTGCTCCTCCCCCTCCCCCCACCACCTTCTTCCCTCACTTCACCCCTCCCCCACTCCCATTTTCTTCTTCTTCTTCTTCTTCTTCCTCTTCTTGGAGTGATACCCACCACCCCCTTCCTCCGTCTGACTCTTGGAGCCAACTTCTCCTGTAAGTCTCTCTCTCTCTCTCTCTCTCTCCCTCTTTCTCTCTCTATCTATCTGTGATAGCAAGTAAGTGTTTTGGGGATTATAAAAAAGTTGTCGGGATTAGATGTCATATAGGTTCAATCCATGTTGTCTGTGTGTGTGAAAATAGCTATGCATGTATGTATGTAGTTTAATACAAATATATATATTATGAATTATATATATAGGGGAGGATTGGTGGATGAAGAAGATAAATCTGGGTTGACTGCTAACATGGAGGCTGCCAAGAAGCTGGAGAATTGGGAGGAGCAACTACTCGGCGGCCATGGCGGCCCGACCACATTCGACGACACAAAGCACCAAGAAAGCAGCTGCTATAATGTCTATGGCCCAAATGCAGAATTTGCAGTAGCAAAGCAACCCAACAACAACAATAACAACTGGTCTCAATCTTCTTCTCCCACGTCTTGTGTTACCACTTTAAGCTGCGCCAGTAACATGTTGGATTCTTGTAATAACAAGATTGTCATGTCTGATAATGCTACCAGACATCCTCCCCCAGATCACTCATCTGAGGTAATATATTCCACATGTTTTCTGTCATTAACCCTATCTTCTAATTAACTCCTTAACCCCAACCAAGTTCATCAGACTATTCACAAGGTTACAAGTTCAGACTCTTAACTCGAGCAACCTATTGACCTTCTTAAGTTTGAGTCAGTCAGCAATAGACAACCAAGGCTGGTTTACCTCCTTATAGTCTTTTGCCGACTATAGTCACACCTTCTTAGTTTGAGTCAGTCAGCAATAGACAACCTAGGCTGATTTACCTCCTTATAACCTTTTGCGGACTATAGTCACAAGGCGGAGTTTACCAGTGCATACTCTCGAGTAGTAATTGCGGGTTTCTCTCTATCTTCACCAAAAGAAAAAAAACATACAACAAATTTTAGGGTTTAGAATTTCATGTATGGATTTGGATACATACATATACATATACATATATAAAGCAATTAAATCATATTCTTGATCTGGAAATAGTTGAGTTTTGATTAAAGTGTAGCATGGGTTATTAATAACTAAATATACAGAATAATTAAGTTAAACATGCACCACCCACTTCTTTTTCCATGTGGACCCTAATTTTCATTTGATATTTTATTTATTGATTGTGCCGAGAAAAATTTCTTCTGATTAGCTTTATATGGTCATAGGAGAATTTATCAAGCTTTATTTGTCTTCATTTTTGTGAAGTGTAACAGCACAGGTACTACTGGTGGGGCACCTAAGAAGCCTAGGGTACAACCTTCTTCAACTACTCAATCTACCTTCAAGGTAATTAATTACCCTTTATCTTTTTACTACTAATCTTATCTTTAATTTGTCATCACTTTATAGTTTATATTTCAACCTTTTTGTTTTCCTAATTAAACAGGTGAGAAAGGAGAAATTGGGTGATAGAATTACTGCCCTTCACCAACTGGTCTCCCCCTTTGGGAAGGTAATTAAGCTCTAATTAAAGAATTAGTTTTACTCGATCAGGATGCATATACGCGTCTCTAATCAAACATCAATATTAGTAATTTTAACGATTAAACCATGATATATAACAGGTAGCTAGAGATCAGATCGAATTGAAGCAAGTTAAAAAATACAAAAGAAAACATTTAAAAATATATATATATGTTCTTTAAATTAGGGTTTCTTGATGGCAGACAATTAAGAAAAAAACAAATTTATTAAACCTGTTTATGTTGGTGTGTTTTTGCAGACTGACACAGCCTCAGTGTTGTTAGAAGCTATTGGATACATAAGATTCCTTCAGAGTCAGATTGAGGTGATGTTTAATACTTCTTCCTCTTTCAATTTCTCAAACTTTCATGAATTTGGCTCTTCCATTCATAAATGGTTAAAGCCCTATTTCCAGGCATGCATTCTTTAATTTCTTCAACTTCAAAATGCATATATATATTTCATGTGTGTTATATTTTCTCCTCTTTCAATACTGCAGGCCCTTAGCTTGCCTTACCTGGGCACTGCAACAGAAACCATGAGGCACCATCAACCACCTGTAAGAATGATATAATACTGTTACTTATTAAGTCTCGAGATCAAAATTCTTGATAAACCCGTTAGTATATTATATGTGAAAATTAAGTTAAACACATGTCAAGATCGATAGGTCAAGTGTTTGATTTCTGTAAAAAGTGTATCATGTTAAAGAGTTCTGAGTGAAGTTCTAGGGATAGATATGGATGCTGTATATATAATTGAGCATGTGATCGAGTTAAACAAATAAAGAAATGAATAATAATGATGTTGCATTTATTGATGAATGATTAATATCAAAATTTGTTTACATAATTTGCAGGTTGTTCAAGGAGAAAGGAATTCTTTATTTCCTGAAGACCCTGGTCAGGTATGCTTTAATTTATTGGATCCATTGCCTTCAATATATACCATTATTACTTTTGGGAATAAAATTATTATTATCTTGTTTTCAGAAAGCTAAAAATAAATAAATAAATAAATAAAGTATTCTTTCTCTGCAAAAAGTGAAGTTTTCCAACCACAAAGCCTGCATCTTTACTGTAACTCTAATTTCACTCAGCTCAATCAGAACCTTAAAAGCCTCAAAAAATGAATTTACTAATATTACTTAATTCCCAAATAAAAAGAAAAGTTTGATTTAATCTATTACTGTTTGTTAATTAATGGAATCCTCTGACCTTTCTCTCCTTATTATCAGCTCTTGAATGACAACTGCATGAAGAGGAAAGGAATTTCCCATCATCAGGTATTATATTTTGTAATTTTATTTTTAAATTTTATGATAAAAAAATAACTTTTTTTTTTATTGAGTACTACTGACTCTATTATATTTTTTTTATTAATGAAGGATTTGCATGATGAATCAAAGAAGGACTTAAGGAGCAGAGGGCTATGTCTTGTCCCGATATCGTGCACGTTACAAGTTGGGAATGACAATGGGGCGGATTACTGGGCTCCGGCGGCTTTTGGTGGAGGTTTCCGATGATCGGAGACAAAAAATTATAATCGAATTAATCGTCGAAGATATGATGCAGCACACAGCACTAGAAATTAATTAATTAACTACTTAATTGGAATATAATGAAGGGTATAATCGAAAGACTTGCTGGCTATAACATCATGAGCAGTCAATCTGCTAAAGTTATAAGGTTGATTGCTCATGATGCTATACATTTTATTAGATCGTACAAGGTTGTTTTAATGTGTGCTGTCTGTAATATTATTTATGATCTTAATTAAGTGCTCTTAATCAATATTATTATCCTATCTTTTTTCATGGGTTAGTACTATTGAAAAATATAAGCAACTGCATGTTAACAAAGATTGGACAATCTTTTTGGAAAAGAGAACAAGAGAGGAAAGGAAAGAAGTCTGTACCGTGTTATATGACAGTGCTACATTGTCATCTATAAATTGTAGCGGGGTTACACCCAATACTTGACCAAGAGTGTAGCCTGGTCTTACTAACTTGTATTAGTCCTGAACCAGACTACATTCCTGGTCAAGTATCGGGTTAAATCCAAAGATTTCTGGTACACTTTCAACGGGCAACACTCATACTAAATTTGCAGTTTTTGCACCAGCATTTTCCTGGTCAAGTATCGAGTGTAATCCAAAGATTTCGAGCAACACTCATACTACTAAATTTGCACCAACTTAAACGTAGATGAACGTGATTATTGCTAAATAGACAAAGGAGAGGAAATAAAGTTTGTTTTGCTGTGTTCATACAAAATGAAATGAGAGTTTATATACTGAAGGACTCCAACTAATCTCTTCATTTCAGCCACACACAAAAAAAAAAAAAATAATAATAATAATAATAATAATAATAATAATAATAATTCGAATGAAGCCACAAAAATAAGAGTAAAAGGTGCAAGTTTAACTCATGAGTCATGACCAAGAATTATTTTGGACAAAACCCTTCTTTATTGAATAATTTTCCAACAAGTACGATGAGGATCATTTCATTATTTTCTGTTTCCACAAGAGATCGAGATGTACATACATCAAATAAATAAAATAAAATAAAAATATTTTTTTATTTCTAATTTCATCAAATGCAAATGATGGTATATATTGTTTTAAAATGGGTATGTAGTTGAGTGAGTGAGTACAATTCTCCTATTTAAATAGTTATGAGTTTGATTATTGCCAACATAAACCCTCTCAATTGAACCTCTCATATTTGAATGGTCATAAATTAAAATTTTTATTAACACTCTTTCAATTGAGTCTATCAAATAATTCAATAATTCTTCGTAGACAAATATATTATATATACTTGATTATTATCGATTAAAAACAATAAAAGTTTACGTGGTTTGGACGTCATGTCTAATGACGTGAATAACAGAATATATATATATATATATATATATATATATATATATATATATATATATATATATATATATATTATCTGAATACCATATAGTTTTATCCGAACATTCGTTAGATTATTTGAATATTGTCATTTTTAGGCGTAGGATGACGAAATATGGACTAATTATTACTTCATTCATGGTTTGATTGATATATATAACTAACTATTATATGAACTCATTATTAGTTCATGGTTTGATTGATATATAACCAATTTCGAGTAGCTAATGAATATAAAAGTAAAATTCTTTTTTATGCCTCGTAAATGTGACTTAAGAATACTAGCTATGATCTTGGGAAGTGATTTTTTGAATGAAAAAATTATGTGCAATTTTCTTAATGAAAACTGGTATTCTCTTCTTAGCTTGATTTTACTCACCTCTTATTAGATTTGGCCATTTGCGATTTTGCGACATGACCCTTCTGCCTTAAAAAAAAAATCAAAAAAAAAATTAAACGGGTTGAACACTCGTGAAGAGTAGATAAGTCTATTTGACCTTTTTGTCCTTAATAAAAAAGAAATGTTTAAAGTTTTATATTCTAAAAAGAAAATTAAATTAACTACATGTCTAACGGGTTATAAACATGTTAGCGTGTCATATATATAGTGCCGTGTAGACCCAAAACTTGTTATTTAAACATGTCTATTGTGCCAACATGTTTAATCCATTTAAAAATCATGTTCGTGTTTTTGTTTAGAACTCTATCATGTTAATCTTAATTAACTGGTTGAGTCGGTGTTTAGCGCCTTATCGTGTTCATTTTGTTATCGAGTAAGTGTCAACCCATTATGAACTTGTTTACGCAAATTGTCTGGTCTGCCTCTTATGCAGTAATAAAACTTTTTATATTTATTAGTTACATGTGAATTGGGTGATCACACATTAAAAAATTACTTATTAATCAAATATTACAAAATTTATTAAATATTATGACATTATGGAATAAAATTATGAGGTAAAATAGCATTGCTCTTTCTTGATTTAATGCTTTCATACCAAGATAAGGTAATCTACTAAATACTAATTACACCTAGCTAGTATTTACGTGCACTATACCTAAAAGAAAAAATGGCATTATTTTCCTTTTTTGGTTAAAGAAGAATTAGATTCCCAAATCTATGTAACTGTGAAAAATCTTTTTGTTTTCCGTTTAAGGTAAAAGCCCAACACAAAGAATTTCATAGGTTTCTAATATCACCATCTTTTATTGTCCTCCGATCCTTTCAAATTAATCTATAGTACATTATTATATCATAATAGCAAGCTATGTATGTAGCTAGAGCTATAGACTAGCTTAGTGGCTGTTTGCCTTTACTATCAAGCATGTGACCATGTGTACATGTTTCACAAAATGACTAGAACTCCTTCTCCATTGAGAAAGAGTGCCGAGCCTTTTTGCAAAGAAAATGCTTGCAATGACCAAACACAATGAAAATGATTTTATATTATAGTATACTCTTGAGCCCTAACAGTTATAGTATAAAGTTTTATTTAATGAGATGGGTTTTGTAAAGTTTTATTTAATGAGATGGGTTTTGTGTGGGCACCAGATATTAGTCCTTTCATTTAATGGGTCACTATAAGTTACTGTGATTTACTGTGATCTTTCACTATTTTATCAAGTTATGATGTAGGGTCCTGGGGACTGGGGATGAGAGAGTACGTTTCGCATTTTGTGGACAAACACACTGCAAAACGTGACACTTCATATGCCTTTGGTGTTGATTGTATTCGACATAATTAGTTATATCATATTAATTGTATTGTGTATTATCAAATCTGATGTTAATATATAGTATCTGGTACAATGTAACTAGGCATATATATCCATGTAATCGTAGTCTGTCACTATTACATTGGCTCATTAAAAAAAACACACATATATATAGTTGTTTTTCACTTTGACATTAGATTTTGCATATAAATGGTTTGAGATGCCATGAGGCTTTCAAGTGGCAATAAAGACTACTCCTTTATTAGCTTCTCCAGGAAGAGTCTTTATCTATTATTTTTCCTTATTTCTAGTATGTAGGAGAATAGTATAATATGCGGGTGTTTGTTCAATAACGGTTAGTTGATTGAGTTAGTAAGGTTGCCTAGTTAGTAGCATTAACGGATTGTAGAAAAGTTGTTTGGTGATATAAATTAGTTGTTAGCTGATAGATGATTACATACAAAATGATATTTTTTAAAAGCTGATCGAGAAAACTACTTTGACCAACTTTTTGAATTTTAGCGTTTTGGAGTAATAAATTATTACAAAAAGCTAACTAATCAAATACTATATTAGTTGTTTAACCAAGTCAAACAGCTAATAATGGTCAAATAAACTAAATTGACTATGTTTCCAAATATGGCGATATACCATTTATTTAAACTAAATTGAGCAAAAATAATTTATTTAAAAAAAAAAAAGGCATTGCATTCAATTCCAATACTAAAGATTTTAAAACAAGCAAAAAGGCACTCTAACTAGTTTACTTTCTAGCTCAGTTTAGTAATTTTTCTTTGTTCTCCCCGTGTTACAAGGGTCAATCCCAAAAAAAAAAAAAAATACAAAAAACAAAAAATAAAACAAAAAACAAAAAAAAAACAAAAAACAAAAAAAAAAAACAAAAAAACAAAAAAACAAAAAAAAACAAAAACAAAAACAAAACAAAACAAAACAAAACAAAAAGTTAATTTACTTTTGACATTTTTTACTTAATTAATGAAGAAAAAAAGCAATTACAAACTTGATTCGGTGTTTAAGTTTCACTTAAAACATTTTTCAAATGTTATGCATATATGGGTTTATATTTATTGAATATATTTAAATCACAATTAACGGAGCTAGGAATATTGGTTACCTTGTATTTTTTTTGAATGCTACTGGCCCTATTACATTGTAGTATCTGTTCATATACTTTCTCAACCTACTGAAACACAAAGAGCCAATAACGCCTCCACTGAGGCTCGAACTCACAACCTTCCAAATGGAAGTCCAACCCGGATACCATTAAACCACATAGTCCTGGGTTAGCTTGTATTTGATTATCTTAATACATACAATAGATCAATTAATCATATCAGCCTATTCATCAATTTGAAAGATTGCATGCAATAACATTGTTATAATCATTGCATCAATTTAAAAAAAAAAAAAAAAAACAAAACAAAAACAAAACAAATTGTAATTATAAGCATAAGGTAGCTAGATGTCCATTAATTTAACCAAGTTCAATAGAAATTTAGATATTGTATATGTATATATGGGGCAATTACACCAACATGTAAAGGTGTAATTTCACTTCATATATGTCTGGTCTACCCATGTCTAAGATAGATTTTTGCTTTTGACATGAAAGTAAATGACTTGTTCTCTATATGGATTGCCCATTTTCTTTGTCATATCTTATATCTACATTGCCTAGTTAATACTTATTATTTACTTTTTCCTTTCCCATTTTTGGATTTTTTTCCCTAGTAATTAAAGTAATTGTATTCTAGGAATATAGACGTTACGTTTGGAAAGAAAAATATTTAGGAATTAAAAAAAAAAAAAAAAAAAAAGGTCAACTAGTATGTAGTATGATGACACCTCTTTTACAATTCTAAATGAGTTGTCATAAAATTATGGATCGGAGTGTTTTTCCTCCCAAAAAAGAAATATGCATGCAAATAATATATGTCATTATGTGTTCGTTAATAAATTATATTGCTAATGAATTTAATCTCACTTTATGTCCATGGTATGGATATATCAAATCATGCCTAAAAAAATGGAGCTTGCATTTTATAAACCACTTATCACACTAAACGTATATTTTTTTTTATTATTACAAAAGAAGGGGATATCCATATATACAATTTACGCCTACACTAAGGCTCGAACCTTAGACCT